GAGTTCTGGCAAGCCATCGAAGGCCACATAACAGGCAGCTAGGGGCAGATAATTTTATTAATTTTCTAAATTTTTTAGGAGCCTCACGGACTGGATAGAATGGACTGGCGGACCGCATCCAGCCACATTTTGCCCACCCCTGCCTTAAAGGCTGTATTTCTGGGCTCGGACTGCCCCTAAAGCCATGCCCATGTCTTACAGGTGTTGATAATCAGTTATTTCAATGGGCTCTCAGCCCCAAGTCCAATCTCTTGTTTCTCCACTCCCTTATATTTTCAAGTCCTATCCCTCTCAGATGCTGGGCCCTGGCCCTGTCTCCAATACTTTCAGGCACTAAGTCTCTGGCCCTGGTTCCTGCCTCCTCTAGCTATTTCTGTAGCTTAGGCCTGCTCCAACAGGCTCAAACCTCCCCGTGCCTCTGTGACACTACAGGGACCTCCAAACCTCCCTTTATTAGTCCCTTCCTGATCCTCCAGTGAGAAAACAAACTGAAAGTCTGGCTCCCATCTTAACGCAATGCACCCTGCCTTGGGGCAAAAAAGAAACAAGGGTATGCTGTCTCCAACTCATACAGCCCCAAGTCAGGTAGTCCTATAGCTGGCAGTAAAACTAGCCAGTCTTGTAGGGCAAATGAAGCTTACCAGAGCAACCCACTCTGGGGCTTCTTACCTGAAAGCTCAGTACCCTACCCAGGTTCCTTAGCCTTCTGTCTCTCCTGCCCCATCTTTGCAAGTGGACTCCCTTCCTCCTCAGGGCTTCCTGCAGTCACTCTACTTCCTGTTCCTCTTCCTCCCTTCCAAGCAAACCCTTATCCCTCTCTTCCCATTATGACCTATGGACAATAACTGCCTGGCCCCAAGGTGTTAGTTTTTCCAATTATGGACTAGCAGTGGCTCCTTTCTTTCTCCCTCTCACCTGCTTTCTGCCTAGCATTTCTTATTTTGTCTGCTTATTTACTCGCCCAGTGGCCAGTTACAATGAACTTGATGCTCTTTCATAACAAACACATCAGGCTCCCTGTTACAAACCAGCTAGGTAGAGTTAAGCTTTTGAATGCAAAATGAAGAATGTCTTGCACTCAAAATCTTGTCTCACTTTAATCCCGCTATGCAATTGGTCCAATAAAAAAGATACCACCCTAAGAAATTCTTGCCCAAAACACCTATTAGTAACTTTTAAATAAAAGTAGCAGCAATGGATCTTAGGAAGCAAATTGTAGCCCAGGGGAAAAAAAACCCTTACTGTTTATAGTGCTGCCTCTACCTAAAGTCTCCCCTTCAGCTCAGTGTTTCTTTATATTAGCTGATATACAAACAGATAAGAAGAGAAAGTTGCTTCTCCAAGGAGCTTGCCTTCTTGGGGTGGTGGTCAAGGGAATACAACATGTAGGCAGAGCAACTGTAATGATGATCTCTACATCTTGGATGATATTGGTGACCTTTTGGGATTAAAAGATCTAGCAGAGGAAGGGATTTAAAGGAGGCAGAAATGTGGACTGGACTGCTTCTGGAACCTAGTGCAGTGGGAGGGGAAGCAGGCTCATCTTTCAAGCAAGTAATCTTGCTGAAATCCCAGGATTAAAAGTTGGCTTGAAAGAAAAAAATGGTTGTGGTTTTTTTCAGCAGCAGCAAATAGTAGTGTTAAGTACAGTAGTGATTTAACCTCTTGATTTTTTTTCAAACAAAGGAAAGAATGCAAATTTATGAATTCAAAAGTAGCATGTTGACTTTGTTTTCCTAGCCTGTACCACGACCAGACCCAGTGAATAATAAAGAAGAAACACACGATCAGGTATTGAAATCCAGATTGGAAGTGAAGGAAATGAAAAATGATAAAGGTCCTACAATAGAGGAACTCAGCAAAATGTTTTACACAACAAAACATCGTTGGTATCCTGTGGGACAGTAAGTAATTTGTCTCATTTTGCTGGGGTCATACAGAAATGAGACTGTGGTACTGATAATAACAGCATAATTTATTAGATGAGGCATAGGACTGTTAGCATCTAGACCATTAAAATAATATATGTAGCACCACTTAGGTGCATGCAAACATTGTTTATGGAAAAAATTTTTAACTTAAATCTTTATTGGCCTTCTGCCAAAGTGGGTATTTGTGTAGAAGTGTTGAGTGATTTTGTTTCTTTCCACATCTAATGAGAGAGTTCCAGCATTTGCATTGTACAAATGAAATCAGTTCAAGAGAATCTCTTTCGTAAAATCTCTTTCAACCTAAGGTCAACACCATACTTTGATCAATACTCTTGAGAATTCTTTCTGCATTATCTGGTCCTTTTGAACCCTCTAACTTTTGATGATAAAAGTTTATAGACTGCTTCATAGATTTCAGAAACAGCTGGGATTTTTTTTTAGAGCCTCATACTTCTGTGAAAAGCCACGTACAGGCCCTTCACTCAGCCAGTTACAGGGAATCTGTAATCTCTTATAACAGTGGTGCTTGACCTCTTTCCCCTGGGGGCCAGATGGGCAGTGTCCAGTCTGTCCATGGGCCAGATCCAGCTGGTGTCCCCAATCTGGCATTTGGGACAGGCATGGCATGGTCCCATCCTACCGTGTAGAGGGGCAAGGGGCAGCCTGGTCCAAATCCAGCCATGGAAAGGGAAGGGCTTGGCCTGGCCCCCAGCCGGTGCGGGGAGGGGGCATGGCCTAGCTTCAACCTACTGCACAGGGCTTGGAAATTTGGCAGTTGGGGAGGGTGGTGGTATTGATGGCCACTGCTCCCCCATCATCAAATTACCCAACCTGTGGGAAGCCCCATGGACCAGATGCCGTGGCTGCATGGGCCATGTTTGGTCTGTGGGCTGAGGTTGAGCAGCCATGTCTTATACCTAAGGCTTATGGAGGAAATACTGCTGACTGAATTAAAATGTGGAATTATCTGTGGATGCATCTACACATGCAATTAATGCAACCCAATAGACTCCAGAGCACTTCGAGCTGGCGTACACTGCACCTGGGCGCAGCATCTACATGCGTCTTGGGAGCAGAGAGCCCCAGGCTGGCAGGGAGCCCCAGGGGTCAGCCCTGGGCTCCAGGTGGCAGCATCGGGCAGCAGAGGGGCTGGCTGGGGCACAAGGGTGCAGAACCTGTGGAGCCTTGGCTGGGTCCCACACTTTGGCACCCTCAGGCCCCAGCCAGCCCCTGTTACCTTGCAGCAGAGTTAGTTAATTTACTGTGCCTAATACTGGTGCACATGTAGGTGGTGACACTTTACTGTGGAGTTATTTAGTCTTCTCCATACTAAAGTGTATGTGTAGATGCACCCTGTGTTCAGCTGCACTATTGGAGATGAAGCCTACAATAGCCTCAATTACATGTCTTCTTTTATCTGGCTTCATGACAATTGAGATGTGAAGCAGATTTTTATTAAAAGTCAGTCATTTATGGCAAAGCACATGTGGGATTAGATGAGAATCTATTATAGAAACCTGTTCCAGCTGAAAATTTTGTTCTGTCTCAATAAGCAGCAAAACTTCTCTCCCTTGTCTTATGATTTGATAACTTGAAAAGAGGGACTGACTTGTATTTCTGGTTTGTGTGTCAGTTGGAAAGATACTGTCAGCTTTAATTTTTAAAAATGGTTTGTTTGTTTTTTAAATGTGTGATGTGTTAGACCATCTTTTAAATAGTAGACTCTCTAGTATTCATTAAAAATGGAAAGGTTTGATATTTATAAGGACCTTTTTAAGGAAGGGAAAAATGACCATAACATTTACACTGCATATCACAATGCTGCTAATTTTGGGACAGACAGGTTTTATTCACTAATTGCTTTTGGTTTGAATGATCACAGTTGGTCACTTGTAACTAAAGGAAGTACAAAATTCAGAGGGATGTAAACTTTCAAGTTAACTTTGAATATCATCTGTTGACTGTATTCCTATGTTTTGCTACTGATATAGCTGTAGAGAGGGTTGTGTTTTTTACGTGGGTAAGATGTCCTGAACATTGGGATAAATATAATGGGGTGTGTGCACTTGCTGATGTCTATAATCTGCAAAGTACAGGCTACAAACAAATCCTGACATGAAAATCCAAGAACAGTGGGGTTTTTTGTTTTAACCAAATTATTTTTTCACTGCTGCCTTTTTTTCTTTCAGGTATCATAGACGGCGCAAGAAATACAATTTTCCTAAAGAAAGATGATTAAGAGGGTATTTCTTTTTGTTATGCCTCAATATCTTGTCATTAATCATTATTGGAAACAAGCTACAAAAATGCAAGAATTCTGCTGATTTGTTTCTAAATTACGCTATTATATCATTAAAATATTTTTTTCTAAATTAAACTTGTTTCTGAAATTATTGTGCTGTAACTGACCAGGAGGGAAAAGGAAAAACCCATAACTTTAAAATGAGAAAATATTTTAAGATACAGAGGGTGTGTCTGCACTTCAAAGGACTAATGCATATATACCCCACACTGCATGTAATGTAGTGGTTGGAGTGGTGCTGCTTTGGTGTTCCTTAGTGTGGTCTTTTTGTTGTGACTTGATCAGTGGCAGTGTGTGTTTAAATCATGGAAAATGCAGGGTTTGCTCAACAACGGGCAGGAAAGTTGTGGTTAAAATCAGTCAGAATTCAAGGGCTAGCACTAGTAGGGTATTTGTGAATAGGAAAAGAAGTTCAAGATGGAAACTCCTAGTCACAGAACTTATGCTGCAGGCTTCTTAGAAGACTAGTCAAACAATGGAAACACGTGTCCTTGAATAGGTGAGATGAAAGAATATTAGGCTGTTACTGCTGCTCAGGATTCAAAGCAACACCAGTCCTTCTAGTCACTACGTTATACAAGCCTTACTGGCTAGCTATAGTTAAACCTTGGTTCCAAGGCATAATTACACACTCCCACAACTGCAAGAAGTTTCCAAATGTTAGAAATATTATGCTGTGTAAAAAGCCAGCATTCCATAAGAACATATTTAAGAAACATGGGATGTATTGGTTGTAGCTTAGTGAAGATTGCCTGCTATGTCAGAATAGTCACTTAAAGCACATGGGACTTTCTGAGGTGTCATATAGAGAGTCCCTGGCCCTTAAAAAGCACTTCACAGAGGATCAAAGTCTGAAAAGGTTGATGTTTATATTCTTTCATACCTAGTTAAGGTGTTCAGAAATGCTCCTGAGTGGTTTTTATATTAAGTGCCCTACAACAGCTGCCACCTATCTCAGCAATATAAGGAGATATTTGCAGGGGTTCCTACTCCTGCAATTGTTTTAGGCACCAATCCTGTATTAGGAAGTGCTAGTATAGATCCTTGAACCTTTTCAGGCTCTGTTAACTTGAGTGGAGTCATGTTTACTAGATCCTGATGGCTATTGGTTTCTAAAATAGTTCATAGATTAAAGTAACACTTAAATGTTCCAAATGAGATCAGAGCCCTTTTGCCTTCTGTGCTCTACAAACAAACATGACAGTAGCTGCTTTTGAAGAGTTTATGAGCAAAACATAATAGGGCTGGGAAGGAAGCAGACAGAGAAAAGTGAAGTCACTTGGTCAAGGTTGCACAGCTGATCAATGGTAGTGTCAGACGCACAACTCAAGTCCTGTCAACATGGCCACAGTGCTACTCTGTCACGTTGCCAAGGTGTGGAAGCTCAATTTTTACTAGACGCTGAGTTCAGATGTTTACTCTCCAATTCATTCCAGGCAATGTTCATTTGTAAAAATTGCAAAGTACTGGTATTTATTTGGTGGGGGGAGAGGGTTGGGGAGGGATCTGGAGAGTTTGTACCTTCTTCCTGAAGTTAAGAGTGATACTTTTTCCCAAAAGACTCATACTTAGTTGTGTTATAAATAACAACTGATGTATTAATGCAAGTCTGCATGCAAAAAGAAATACCATAGATGATGTATGAAACTGCAATTCCTGGAATGAGAATATTAGCAAAAAAAAAGGTTTCACTTAACCACTTGAAAATAAATGAAAGAGGTTTCTTTTCTCTCTCCTTTTGCATGTGCAGTGCCATGTCCTACTGGGGAAAATACTTAGAATAGTAGAAACTATAAGCATGTTGAACATAAAACAGGCATCAGTCTGGCTGCTCTTTGGCTTATGCTGGCAAAAATGATTTTCTTGCTAGCAGAGCATGAAGTGGTCCCGCTTCCCCTTGCTGCTGTGTAATCAAATTAGCCAGGCTGAAAATTAATTTTATACCAGAAGCGCATTTGGGCAGCAAATTATAGTCCACTGAAAAACAGCAAATAAAAGTAGGCTGCTGTGAAAAAGGCTCTGGTATACTTGTGAAAATAGTTGTTTTCTGCTTCAAACACTGAATGACTTTCCTAAGCGGAGGAGAAAGGGGCATTTGGGCTTTTTTACTTATCATAATAGTGTTCCCATCGTACGCCTCTTAGAAGCGAGTGGTACGCTTAAGTTCAGCATTCATAGTCATTCATATTTCACAGGGATGTTGTTATTAGTTTGAGATTTGGATCTTTTGCTAAATGATTTCAGTATCCTGTGTTGCAAAAGTTCATGCTTCCAAATAACAAAGATTGCAAAGGAGGCACTGTTAAAATGGGGTTGTCACAGTAAGAGAAATAAGATGCAATTAACATAGCAATACTTGGAAACCAATTATTTTCTCAAAATATTGTGTATACCCTCTCAACAAAGAAACCAAAGCCCTATTAGTGACTTTCTTCCTGAGACGCTTCTAAGATTGATTTTAATCTGTTCCTCAACTACTGTCAGCTGTCCTCATCTTTTTAAACTTTTATTATTGAACCCAATTTTGTAACTTCATAAAATAACAAATTGAACACTTAAAAATGTATCCAAACCCCTACAATATACAATAGTCAGATACTTAACTTCCATCAACAGTGCTCCCTTAACCCAAATCAATGTCTTCAAGCTTGCATTCTTTTCTTCCTCTCAATCTCTGACAGTATTTCAGCTGACATTATGCTTTTGTGTTTCTTCAGCTCTATATAATAATTCGCCCCCTTTTTCCTCAAAATTTTGCATATTACAAATCTCACTATCTTATCCGTCTGCTCTTAAATTTAAAATTTATTCCAAATTTGTTAAGCATAAACATGTAGAACTTGCACTTTCCTTAACAATCAAAAATGTTGCTCAAACTTTCTGCTTTGGAGACGGGAGAGGGGTTTTTTTGCGCAAATTCCAAGAATTTCCAAGTAAGAAACGATTCACATTTTCATTGATTGTGTGATACTGTTTCCCAACAACATGATTCCCCTTGTCAAAATCCCCTGATAAAAACTTGAATTATGTTTGAAATCGCCTTTCACCTTCCCATTTCCCATTATCTAGTTTCCTCAAGTATCTTTCCCCAAACTTAAACTTAGTGTCCCAAGTACTAGATGCCATAGTGATGTGCATTTTAAGAGTAATATGCATCTTAAGAGCTGGATTCCAGTTTTCATTAATCATAAGTGTCATCCTGGCCCATCTAGCTCAGTATCCTGACAGTGGAAGAAGTGGATGCTATAGGAGGAGACCATCAAACTGGATCTCTCTAGAGTGATCTATCTCCCCCATTTAATACCCTCCCATTGTTGGTTTAGAGGTGCCAGAGGAAACATCTCCGTTACTGAAGTTACATCTAGTCATGCTTGACTTACCCTTAAATTTAAAACTGACTCTTTTTTTAGAGTGATTATTTTATCTACATTTTCAATATTTCCTCTAGCTCTTCCCCATCAATTTTTTTTTTTAAATACTACCCAGCATCATTCTCCATTTTTTTCAAACTTTTTTTTTACTGAAATCCTATCCTAGTTCACTGTGATTTTTGCATCCCTTGCATCTCAAATTCAGTGAGTCATTTGAGAGACTTTTACAGGTGCCCCAACACGTTTGGATTGGAACGCCTCAGAGCCGCCTCGATTCGACTGGAGTCTGCTGCAGCGTTCTAATGGGAATGCTCCAGTGTGCTGCAGTGTCCTGTGTGTTCAGCACCCTGCACTTCAAAATGGCAGTGAGGGCACTTGAAGTGTAAAGCTCATCGAACAAGCTTTAGTTAAAGCACCCTTACTGTCATTTTGAAACATGGGACACTGAAGGCATGAGACGCTGTGGGCGTTTTAATTGGAGCAGCTCTTGAGCCATTCTAATTAAAATGCCCTCCCCCACCCCAACCCCAGAGCACATGTATAGGCACCCTTGGTGGTCTAACATTTTCAATCACGTTGAAATTTTTAGGACTTCTTGCTGTTTTCCAGTAGATGTCTTTGGTTAATTTTCTTTATGTGATGCAAGTATTACTATCACAAAAGTGTTTCTTTTTTTAATTCGCTGGTATTCAGGGCCTAAACCGGCAACAATAATGTTTCTGCTGTGTGGGCTTTTCCCTAAGCTTATGATACTTTTGCCTGTTTCTGCTATGCCACCTCATTCTTTCACTCTTTGATTTTTTCAGGCTATATTCTTGTATCAATATCCCTGTTGGATTCTCTGAAATTCAGCTTAATTAGTTTCTTTGTATAACTGATCCTAGACTTCTTTCTGGTTTTCTTCCAGGGGTCAGCAGTCTTTCTGGGCAGTGTGCCAAAAGCACCTGCAACCTCAACATGTAAGAAGATGTTGGTGTGCTGGGGCAAGCAGTGGGGAAGCCTCAAAGAACCCAATCTTTGTTGTGGCAATGCAATCCCAGCCTCTTCCCCACTGTCTGCCCCAATGCATACGCATTGCTGCCAGCAACAAGCCAGACTGGGGCTCCACAGACTTCAGTGCAGCTGCTTGCAGCCCTGGCTACCTGCCACAACCAGCCCAGGCTCTGGGCAGGCCCCTGCCACCTGCAGCAGGAGGTGGGGAGGCTGCAAGCAGCTGCACCAGAGTTCAAAGAGCCCCAGCCCAGCAAATTGCCAACAGCAGGTATGCACATGCTTCAAGGTGGACAGCAGGGAAGGGCCAGGGCTGCACTGCCACAACAAGGATCAGGCCCCTTGTGGCTCCCCCGCCATCTGCCGCAAGTCGCACATGCCAAGCAAAATGCCTTTGCGTGCCACACTGGCACACATGCTGGGAGTTGCCTACCCCTGCTTTAAACAGTTGTTTACAGCCTAGGGAGATGCTTTTCTCAGGCATTTTGCTTTTTTTCCACTTAGAATTAAATTCTGCCTGATTTCCACTTGAATCCTAAATCAGCCTATCTTCAGTTGAGAAGCAGCCCCAAATTGCCAAAACTGTTTTGCACTAGTGTTTTGTTTGTAGAAGAATCTGAAAGCAGGAAGGGCTGGTTAAGTTGCAAGTTTGCTATAGCAGTTTGTACAACTTTGAACAGACAATAGGTATATTCTGAATACTTGTGTATCTGG